ATATACATCTTCAAAAAGTTGGGAACCCTCCCACACACAGTTTACCTCTGTATGAGGTCTGAAACTCCCTCTGTAGCAGAAACTGGAAAATGCCAGGTAAATTGCTAATAAAACAAACCAGTTCTAGTTACCTTTGCTGCAAACTGAAGTCCCACTTTATCAGCTTCAGCCTCCAATGTTCTGCTGTAAGGTCTATCAAACATAAACTGCAAAGAAAAACATCAAAGCTTGATTTCTTGATTTAAATGTGTATAAAGCTAGAGCATTGTAGTTATTGTTTAACCTTCTCATAAGAAGGTTATCAATCATAAGAAGTTTTAGCAACCACAGTGATATTGCATGTGATCAGTATTAATTATCTTAATATAATCTTTAATTCCATTATATGTAAGCCACTGATCCTGTATTCAGTGGAAATTAATTCAAATGATACATATTTTCATGAGCCCTCTCATCAGCCAGTATCACAGCATTTTGCAGCAACCAAGGGGTCAATGCCAACTTCAAAGAATTGTTTCACTTTACTTGCATTGGCATTAAGGTTTTTGTAAGTATGTAAAAAATTGGCTTTAAAAATTTTTACTGTATGTAAAAAATTCCAGTGTCTCTCTTAAAGTTTTAACTGTTTTAAAGCTGCTATAGTCTATTTGGTATGGTAAACAGCTCACTAAGTGGAATGTAACCATAAACATTTTCCTACAGAAATCACTCCCTTTTGACACGATGATCTCCAACAAAAGCTGCAAATTGTTCGTGAGAAATTAAGCTAGCAGACACAAGACTGGTCAACTCCTCTCTTTTTTCTAGGGTATGACATTGTATTAATACACGCTAAGAGAAAGCGGCAGTTTTTTCAAATGGCTGTTTAGTCAGAGAACTCGGGGTCTTCTGGCATACGTAATTCACACCGATTTGGGCAGCCTTGCCCTCGAGTGTATCAGGTTACAGGAAACGTGGATCAGGACTTGCAAAGACAGACTGATCGTGCAGAGGTAAGGAACATGTCCCAACGTTCAGGCCTGGGTATCAATTAGGAAATATCATCTGAAGAATGGGGATGTGCAAGATTAGTGAAGAGAAAGGACGTTTTACCAGCTTGTTTTTTTCCTTTTTTTTTTCTTTTTGTTAGAGAAGCGTGTCTTCCCCATACATTCCAGAGAAGGGGAGAAAAACAACAGAAATGAAGGGCACCAAAAAAAAGTGGTCCAATCCCTTGAGTACACAGGAAGATATCTGTATTTTTTTCTTTTCTAAAGTAGTGCTAATAATTTTTTTTTTACTAGGTCAAAAATAAAATCCAATCAAAAGCTGATCCTTTACTTTTTTTTTTTTTTCAAGCCAAATACACCCCTTTTTAACTACGCATAGAGGAGGTCACTTTCTAAATTCTTTGTTTCCTTACAGACTTTAAACACTGCAATTATAAATTTATTTTTATTATCCTCTAAGGATAAAGTCATTCTTTGAAGTGGAATATATATTTCTATTACTTTGAAAAGTGCTCTGAGTCATATATTCACTGAATGACAAAGATATCCTTGATGATAATCCTTGAGGTCCCTTCCAATCTGGCATTCTACATCCCTGACTCCCCTGTCACATATTCCTGAAGCACCATTTCCCAGTTAGACAGATAAATTATTTGTTTAGTTACTAAACATTTCTCAGATAGGGAAATGAAACTGACAGCAGGAAACAGGACTACCCAAAGCACTAGCTGGAACAGAGGCTTGCACAAACACAGTTTTGTATTTCTTCAGTTACAAGCACTTGTGGTTTTATTCTCTGGGAAATTTACAACAATTTTAAATAAGAAGGGGTAGCATCCATCTCAAAAAAAGTTGTGTAGAAGTTTTAAGAACTCAGAAATTAATGTTCTGAATTCACATCTTAACAGACCATCTAGAAAGAGATCTGTAACAGCAAGAAGATGGTAATAAGAAGATGAGCATTTAAACCCTTACTCCTTAAACAGTTTTATTTGCATTTACAGTTAAGCACTAGGCTATTACTGTTTGCCTCTACGTCTATTTCAATACTGCCCACAAAAATATGGCTGTATTTCTAAAAAGAAACACAACACTACTGCAATTGGTGGCTCAGGACCTACCC